TAAATTGATATAGACAGATTAACAGGAGAAAAACAATTTTAATTTTGTTCCTAGAGGAGCCTGAGGCACAAAGGCAAGTCAGACAAAGGAAGCAATATGGCACCCTGAGCTAAGGACTGGGTAGGGGTGGAGGCTGTAACTCACAGGCCAGAAGGATGAGAGCAGATGTTTGCCCAGCCATCCCGATGCGTCATACGATAAAAAAATTACCTCTGGCAATCGCTCCTTTTCTGGGCCAGGCCACCCATCTAAACTCTTTTAGGTAATAAGGGAGAGATAAAAGTTTTTCTTCAATCTGCTAGCTCCTGAATGCCTTCAGGTCAAAACAATCCACGTGCCAGAATGGCACTTTTGGGGTGACCTATTCTGCTCCTTTTCCCCTCTCCAATCTGCCAAGCACTTTCCCTCGTGTTATTTATTCAACATAAACCTGTGAAGCAGGAGTCAGCCCCCTGTGATTCAGGCTGTTGCTCACTGGCTGTGTGGCCTTGGGGCAATCACTTCACCTCTCTGAACCTCACTGGCCTTACCTATAAAATGGGAGAGAATGTCCACACCCAGCAGTTTTGCTGTGAGGTTTAAGTGAAAATCATGGATCTGAAGCGTTCAGCAGTGCCTGACGCAGGGTCAGTAGATGTGACAAGCCCCTCTCTTGAATCCCCCATTTTACAGAAGGGGAAGATGAGATTCAGTGGGCTAGCAAATTATGATCTTCAAAATGTTAAAAAAAAAAAAAGAAATGAAAAAAAAAAAAGAAATGATCATCCAGAGTCAGCACATGTCACTGTTGGGTCTCACTTCTTCCTGAGGAAATTGCCAGGGTGCCAGGGGTGCTTCAGGGGACTGAGCAGTCAGTGAAGCCGAGAATGCTGGGACAAGATGGCGGGCACACTGCAAACTGGCACAGACCCTGCAGTTCATGGCCTACAAACACTGTGTCACCTCTTCTGGGCAGAAATCTGTCACTAAGGGACAAAGTCATCTCATCTACTTCCTACAAATCAGCACCTCAGTTCTCCGCCGTATAAAGCATCTGGGCCCTGACCCATAGGGGTCACGTGACCGGGGGCTTGTTAGAGGATCCCCAGTAGAAGCAGGAAGGTCATTTCCTCACTGCCTCAACCCCACTAGGTGTATGCTTTTCCTAACACAGTCAAGTGTTCATAGAGCTGGAAAGGGAAGAACTCACCTTCCACACCACATCCAGATTACTTCTGAGGGAGAATTCCAGAGTGTTTTGTTCTGGAGAGCCAGTCTGGTCACCTCTTCAACCTCATGGTGAGAAGTCGAATGCCCAGAGAACAGGGCCGTGCCTGGGGGAGGAGCAGAGGCCAGAACGTGACTCCTGCCCAGGGCCCAGGTTGATCCCCTGCCCCTACTCAAGGGGTGCAGGTGTGGGTTATCCACCATGGCAGGCTCACCTTAGCTGAAGCTGGATTAGCACCCTGGACCCTGTGGGGGTTGGCTATGGTCCAGGTTGTCTGTGCTCCAGCAAGTGAGAACGGAGACCCCACAGCCTCCAAGCACACCACCCCCACACTTGTTAGCTCTGCAGTGAGACACCAGACGGCTCAGAGCCAGAGCAACAAATAGCAGCAGCCGAGAAGCAGCATATGGGTTTCCACGGTGATCGCCTCCTGGAGCTCTCAGCGTCTGTCTGGAAGAGATGGCGGTCAGGAGGAAGAACGCAGGAGCAGGAGGGAAAACCCAAGTCCTGTCCGGGACTACCCCAGCTGGAGAGTTTGATGTGCCTGGGGCAAGTCGCCTCAGCTCCTGTCTGAGGGGGGACAGGCCACCAGCTGCTAGTGCCTTCTCTGGGCCAGGCTTGGAGTGCTGAATGCTGAGCTTCCACTACCTCATGCACTCCTCTCCCATCAAGCCTTTGAGGAAGGGGCTGTTGTCAGTATTTTACAGGTGAATCAAGCACAGAGAAGTAAAGTAATTTACACAGGAACACACAGCTTGTGAGGAGGACCTGAGCCGAGCTCTTACCCCTTCCTCTTGGAAACTGGGCCCACTCCTTCTGCAGATTTTAGGCCCAGCCCAGAGAAGAAGGGGTGTAGGAGGCAGGTATGGAGAGGGAGGCAGAACCAGGGTGTGAAGAGGGAACACTTCAGATCACACACAGAGCTGTCAGGCCCGTTCTCTGCGTGGCCTTGGCCAACATGGCGGCAGCACCAGAGGCAGGAAGCAGCCCCACGGCGGGCGGCATGAGGCAGGGAGACGCACCAGCCACCGTGCCTGTGAAGGGAACTGGTGCTCAGGGCTCCCGGAGCCTTCCAGAGCCCCCTCCCCGCCCCCCCAAATCCACATAAAGGAGCCGCACCCCCTGCTGCCTCCTCGACCTCCTCTCCCCTGTCTTCTCCCTCCCACCCTGTCCCATCTCCCTCTCCAGAGTTGCCTTCAGTCCGTATCTGATCAGAGGGATATGGGAAGGGAACTTCCCATGGCTTTGATTAGTCCTGAAAAGCCCAGTTGAGGCCCAGGGGCCCTTGACAGAGCCCAGAGTGTACTTTTAGGGTGTGTTCAGCCCTGCCTGCCAAGAGGCCCTGCCCTCTCTTCCTTCATCTAAGCCTCAGGGCGACCGTGTGAGCTGCAGTCCCGACAAGCCCAGGCCCAGCTGGCCTGAGCCTCCCCTGCAGGCATGAAGGTAGGAGAGAGCACGCGTGTGTGTGTGTGTGTGTGTCCAAGTGTGGGCACAGGCATGAGCCAAGCAGGGTGCCAGGGCGGGGGGGGGGGTGCTGGAACAGGATCAGTTGCCCCTGAAAGCCCCGCAGCCCCTCACCCTTGAAGTGCCCCCCCAGCCCTCTCAACTTAGTCTGCCCATCCGTTCACTCTTCCAACAAGCGTTTGCTGGAGTTTTGTGATACTAGTGACACTTGGTTCCAAACCTCAGGACCGGACTCCTCATCCTGCGGTCTTGGGTATCTCCACAGGGGAGGCTTTCCCTGCCCCCTGGATCAGGTGGCCCCACGGCCCCCTCCCTCCTGGTCGCAGGATTGCCTGGTTCCTGGCTCTGTCCACCGGACAGCAGAGCGAGCTGGCTGAGGGGGGCGTGGGTCTCACTCGGGGAACAGGGAAGCGGCAGGCGCCAGGTGGGCCGGCCCGGAACCCTTCCTAAAGCGCAGGAACTCGGGCCAGTGACCTGGGCTGCCTGAGGCTGTTTCTGCATCTGTACAGCGGCATGGAGGGAGTAAGGCACAGCAGGTCCTCGCGACACTGGTTCCTTTCAATGTGGCTAAGAAAATAAAAAATAAAACCCTTTGCCAAGTCACATGCAAGGATGTCTTTGAGAGAGCTCTTGTAGCTTCAAGTCAGTTTCCAAGAATCTATCCACCACCTTAAGTGACTTGCTGTAGCTCGGCAGCTTGCACGGGGGAGGATTACACCAGCTAATCCACTAGCACTGAGAGCCCTGCCTGGCCTGCAGCGGAGCAAGAATGTGCTATCACCGTCCCTCGGTGCACCCCAGAGCCCCCAGAGCCTGCATGGAACCGGCCCGCGTTTACTGCTCAGGAAGTATTTGTTGGCTGGATGAAGGAATGCATCTGCGGAAGAAATGGTATTTTTAGCCAGGGCTGGGCCCAGCCTGAGGAGTCAGGGGGCTCTCTGGAGGAAGGGAGCCTCCGATGATTTCTGTACCCTGGGCAAGGTGGAAGGAGGAACAGCCCAGCGCAGGCGCGAGGCCTCTCTGAGCAGGACGCACCTGGAACTGAGCCCACGGGGCAGCGCCAGGTCCCCTTTGCTTGCCCTTGCGAGAACATTCTTGCACCAATGAACGGTGTCCTGTTCTTGAATGCTGGTCTGGTCGGGGCAGCCAGGAAGGAGGCCCCTTGGTGAGCAGCCCTGGGGACAGTCCGGATGAGCCACCTCGCGGCAGATGCCACCAGCCCTGTCTAGAGAGGAGAGCAGAGGCCTGACGACATCCAGCCGGGAAGCAGGCAGCGCTGCTCTCTGGGATCCCCTCCTCAAACCAGGGCTCCCCAGCAGTCCAGCGACTCCCCACTGGTGCCTGAGTCCCCTCACAGAGCACACTGAGAAAGTGACTCGGGGCACTGAGAAGCAGCGCTTCCAGTGAGTGGGGTGCAGACACATGGAGAGTCAAGTCCAACTTGAGGAAGAATTTCCCACAGGGACTGAAGAGGCATTAAGCTTCTTCCCTGCAGAGCTCCAGGAGGGGGGAGGCAGGAAATGTGGAAGTGGGGGGCAGGGGGTGGCGGCTTCTGCAGAGGGGACCCAGGCTGGGAATAGGTGGGAGCACCTTATACGAATCACCCCCACCCCCAGTCTCACTGCCTCACTTACCTGTTGACTTTCTCATCAGGTTGGCCAGTGAGAAATTCTAAGGATTAGGGGTCAGGAACTTAGGGTTCAAATCCCTACCCTGTGCTTCTTAGCCAAGTGACCTTAGGATAATACCATCCCCTCCCTGAGCTTTGCTTTTTTCATCTGTAAGAAACAGCAGTGACAGGCCCTCCCTGGGGGCACAGCAGGTTAAAGCCAGCCGAACTGCAGCCCCTTCAGTGAGGGTTCGATCCCCGGCCCCAGAGGTGACCCACATGGTGCAGCAGACCTCTCCTGTCTCTCCCGCTGCTCCCCTCAGCAGTGTATTTCAGTCAATCTTCTTGTTCTGCTCCCCACTTTGTCTCTGGTGAATCCTCTCACTGCCCCTCCACGTCTGGCCTGTGCCCCAGTTTTGTATGCATAAATAAATAAATCTTTGAAAAGAAAAGAAAAGAAAAGAAACAGCAGTGATAAACCTGTCTTAAGGGTTTGCGAGAATTCAGAAACAGGCCTCCCCTATCTTGGCAAACTGTGAGGTGTGGTTCCAGCTGTCTGTTCTTGATAGCAGAGAGGAAACCAGCTTGGAAGGGGTTAAGGGCAGACCCCGCCTGCCAGCCGGGAGCGAATCAGAGCTGGCAGGGGAGGAGCTGGCAGCTGCCAGGGGAGAAGCAGCGCTTCCAGACACTGCCCCAAGAGGGGACCGAGAAGACGCCGGGCTGCTGGCTGTGCTGCAGAGACTTGGCACAGGGTTCCTGGCCTCGGCACCCTGGTAGCTCCATGCCATAGGGTGCAGCTGCTGGGTGGGGGAAGAAGGAGCTGAGTTACCTGAGCCGGGGACAGCAGCCGGTAGGAGAGGACACCACCCAGACCCCTCGTGGGGCTCCCCAGGCAGGGGAGCTTCCAGGCCTTGACCTCAGCTGACCCTGATCGCCTAGATCGGGTGCAAGGTCTAATTTTAGCTCCCGTTCCAGGGCCCAAGTCCAGGAGTGGCCAGGAGCCTCCACGGCCAGGGAGGCAGCACAGGCAGGGGTGGGACTGGGGAAACAGACCTGCTTCCTTCCAGCCCTGCACCTTGGCCAACTCCCACGAGCCCCTCATGGCCTGGCCCACGCCCCTCCCTTCTGTTGAGGGCAGAAACAGGGGGTGCAACCAGGAGAGCAGAAGGACCTGGCCTTGCAGTCCTAACAAGGGTTGCATCAGCCTGAGAGGGGCCCAGAAGCAGGAGCCGCACTGAGGGGGCAAAGGTTGACTTGTCCAAAGGCCGAGGAAGCCGAGTCCTGACCGCAGGAGGGCTCGGCCAGAAGCTGGTCTCCGGCGCCCCGTGGCTGACCAGTGACTGGCTGTGTGGCCCGGCCCCGGCAGCCTGCTCTCTGTGGCCTCGGTCTTCCCATCTGGACAATGAGGGTGCTGACCTAGAAGGCTGATTACAGCTCCCGCCACCCAGCTCCGGCCTGCGCGTCCGGCTCGCCCCAGCCCTGGCTGCAAGTGGCCACATGCAGTTGTGCAGAAGAAAGTCCCTCTGGCTGGCGCTGCTGGCCTCCTGGCTGCTTGTCCTCCTGACAGTCCTGCCACCCCTTCTTCAGCTGGCAGTGCCTACCGGGCCTCGGCCACGGGCCCCGCAAGGCTGGCCCCGCTGGCGGGATGCCGAGCTCCTGCAGAGCTTCTCCCAGCCTAGGGAGCTCCTGGAAGATGCCCCTCGACCCCCGGTGGCCCCCCACAGTGGCAGGTGTGACTGGGGGACCTGCTTTGACTCCTCCAAGTGCAGGGGCGGGGGGCTCAAGGTATTCGCTTACCCAGCGACTGGACAGAGCTCGGAGACTCACCGCAGGATCCTGGCTTCCCTGGAGGGCTCCCGGTACCACACACTCAGCCCCGCCGAGGCCTGCCTCTTCCTCCTCCTCGGCCTGGACACCCCGGCTGGAGATTGCAGCCTGGAGCCCCCCCAGTGGAATGGGGGCAGGAACCACCTGATCCTCAGTCTCCAGTCAGCCCCCTGTGCCCAGACCTTCCGGCTGGGACAGGCAATGGTGGCCGAGGCCAGCCCCGCAATGGACACCTTCCGGCCGGGCTTCGACGTGGCCCTCCCGCTTCTCCCTGCAGCCCACCCATTGCGAGGTGGCGCTCCTGGCCAGCTGCGACAGCACAGCCCCCAGCCCGGGGAGACCCGGCTAGCCCTGGCCGAAGAGAGGGGCGGGTGGCGCGTGGCAGATGCCCACTCTGCCTGCCCCTGGGATGGGCGCTGTGAGCAGAACCCTGGACCTGAGCAGTAAGTGGACCTTTCCCCTTGGGGCGGTGGGCAGGGTCTGTGACGGGAGAGAGCCCAGAGTCCGGGGTAGGAGCAGGACCAAGATGGGGGGGACTTGCTGGCAAACTTAGGCCTCTACTGCCGTGGGGGGAGTCAAGGGGCAAAGAAGCTCCCCCCAAGAGGGCGATTTGCCCCAAGGGGTGTCCCAGGCAGATTGTGGAGCTCGCCCCCAAGAGGACTCCCTCCCACTGCCTCCTGCTGACTCCAACCCTCCTTCCTGGCATTTTATCTGACACGGACTTCTCTAGTGTTTACTCTGTGCTAAATAATGGGTCTAATAAAAGATACTAATTGCTATCATTTAAGTGTCTGCGTACCAGACACGACGGACGCTTAGTGAGGGTCATAACTTGTCGAGGACACCCATCTAGTCTTTCAAGCCAGAACTGCCGAAGAAGTCAGCATTGGACTTTTGAGTTTTAAGCAAAGGGTTTAGGCATCAAGTGGCTCAGAAGGTCCATCGACACTAATAACTGGCCACAGATGAAAGCTGCTCCTGTGTCTACTTTTAGGGATGAAACTCTCAACCAAGCAGGCTTTGATTACAGCAAATATAAATTAGGCCAGAAGAACACCCCCACAGCAGGGGTATAAAGGACCAGGGGAGAAAATAATAATAATAATGAACAACTAGATACCAGAGACATTTTACAGGGGTGGAGTGGGGAATGGGACCAAAAATGGGGGCGGGGAGGGGAGTGCACTGGACTATGGTGATGGCACAAGGGTGACTTGGTGATGGGAAGCCCACGGGGATTACAGCTGAGCTGGAAAAAGGCACAAAATGATGTAAAAATAAGTGATTATGTTATTTTAAAAAAGAAGAAGAAGAACATCCCACCAGCCAGAGGCCTGGAGAGGTCGGTAGATAAGGGGCATGGAGAGCTTATCCAGGCACCTGGGCTAGTTGGGGGTCACACACTTCAGGTGGTAAGTAGTTACCCCTTAGTACCCTGGCCCCTTCCACCCCCAGAAGGCCAGCATTGTCCAGCTGGCTGGACAGGCAAGAAGGAAAGTTCTTTTGACGTGGCCCAGGGCTTCTGAGGCAGAGGGCTCCCCCTCACCCCCAGCCTGACCTGACTAGGAACCCGTCACTTTGGACTCCCCCTTCTCCTTCCCCCAGGCATCTCCCCATATTCTGCTAGAACAACATGGGCTATTCTGAGCTCTCCTTCCCTCCTAGGAATTCTTCACCTGGCCAAGTTCCATTTTAGCTTCAGCTTGGGGCTTCTGGGGCTTCTCCCAATCAAAGGGCTCTTGTGGGAATGGGATCCCCTCCCTCCTGAAGGCACATGGCCTCCAGGGACCCCCCCACCCCGGGGTGAGAATGGAACTGCCCTGTCACCCCGCTGCAGTACCCTCCACTCTGGCAGTCACCAGGGGGCCCCCAGCATCTCACATGCAGAACTTAGGCAGAGCTCACCTTGCGTGACCCCTCTCGTTCACAGGCCTCGTCCCCTTTTCTAACCAGGCACGTAGCTGTTCTTGCCTCTTAAGTTATTGCTAATTGCGGTTGGTGATGGCTGAATCTGAAGCTATTTCAGCCTCAACTCTGCGAAACTGAGTTAGGGAGCTGCCCACTGACAAGGTGCACACTACGTGTTTACTGATGGGTCTGAAACTGGCCAGGACAACCCAGGTTTTCCAATCCACACAGCCACCCTCTGAGCAGCGTTTTTGGTACCGTCCCAGGCATGATGCTAAGCAGCCTCTAACTGTCCTCTGAACCAGACATTGGCCTCTGCAGGGGACAGGACTTGTAATCTCTGGGGAAGTCTGAGCCTCAGTTTCTCTGAAGTGTCTGGCAAGTGCCTGAGCCAGCCAAGCAGACCCGGGCAGAGTGAGGGAGGCCTTATGCCACAGGCCCAGGCCCTGAAGGCGGCCTGAATAAACAAGGACTGGCCTGGCTTAGCGGGAGAAAGAAGCATTCACAGCCCCACTATGCCTCATTCACTCAGCGGGGCTGAGGGGTGGGTAGAAGCTGACCTGGGGGGCTGGCATTGCCCAGGTGTGTGACCAGCACTTACTACAGACAAGAAGCTGCAGGGGAGAGAGCATCCCTATGTCAGGGGACAGGAAACTGAGCAGCCCAAGGTTTGGGCTTCTGGTGACAAGCTCCATCCTCACCGTGGCCTCCCTCACTGTTCTGACCGGGCACTGGGACAGAGCGAAGTTGGCTCCAAAGCCCATGTTTTTCTACCTTCATTGAATGGTCTCCTGTGGCTTTGGAATCAGCCTCCACCCATTTAAATTGCTATTTATTTATTTTTATGAATAGGGAATTCATTCACTGGGTACAACATTCCAAAGGTATAAAAGGGTCTACAGTACAGACGCCCCCCCGCCGCCTCCGGCCACCCAGTTTTCCTTCCTGGAGCTCAATATCATTTCCAGTTTCTCGGGTGTCTTTTCTGAGAGACTCTGTGTGTGTGCGAGCTGCGTGGGTATAACTCTGCCCTCCTGTTTGTTTTTTTACATAAATTCAAGGCATGTTTCAAACCCCCAGCCAACTCCCTCTAGGCACAGGAAGTACAGGGACCTCGCACTTGAAACAGAAAGTGTGTTTCTGTCTTGGGATAGAAACTGTGAAAATGTTTTCTTTGAAAATCAGGAGAAATTAACTTTCAGGTAAAAGAAAACTAACACTTAATATAAATGTTAATATGTTCACTTTTGTACCAACAGTTACTATATATTTTAATGTTTTAGAGAGGGTATGAAGGCCCAAGTGACAGAGGCACAGGGAGTCACAGTGAGCTCTGCCCTAGGGCACCGGGTGAAGCCAGATAAGATGCCAGGACCCCCGAGTCTATGGCCAAACCTCACAGGATCAAGAAACCTAGAAATTCATCTGCAGTGATTGTATTGTGCCCTCTATAACACTCGCTCACACCCCCAGCTGCCTGCCAGCCTCGGCTTGTTTGCCTGTACTGATGGGGAACTCACCACCTCTCGACACTACCCCCCTGCCTACTCTCAGCCAGCTTCATTACTAGAAGTTGTCCCAAAAAAGACTTTGCAGATAACTGGCCCATTGGTCCTGGGTCTGCTCTCTATTGTGCACTGAGCAATTACTCATTTAGCGCCCACTAAGCAGCCCTTCTCTGCCAGGCACTCTGCTAGGTCCTGGGCACACCGAGATGGGTGCCCCTGCGCTCCAGTTGCTATCATAGAGGAGAAACAGTCACTGACTATGACACACATTACTTTGGAACTATGTGACCTCGTCAGGCCTTGGGTTCTTCATCTGTAAAATGGGACCTTCACAGCCCGTGTCTACCATGCCACAGGGTTGCTGGGGGAATGAGAGAGTTATATGTGCTCAGGAAAGGAAAGCCTGGCTCACTACTATCACAGTGAACAGCAGGACGTTGGGAACAGAGAGCAGGGGCCATTTCGGGAAAGATCATAGAGGGCTTCCCGGAGGAGGTGATGTTTATGCTCAGACACTAATGCTGAGCAGGAGGAATTCCTCCAGCTGCAAGGCAGGACGTACAAAGCCACAGAGGAGGGAACAATGCAGATTAGCAAAGGCTGAGGGGTGCGGGTGTTCAGCAGGCTTGTGTGTCTGAAGCCTGAAACTTGGGCGGTTTCAGCCTCTTTGGGGACGGAGGACCATCGTCATGGCGTTTGATAAGGGACAGCCCGTCCTGTTTAACTTGTAGCTTTTTCCAAGGACAGCCCAGGGGACCCCTGAGCACTGTGAAGGCGGGGGTCCTCTAGGAGCTCTCCTGAGCGGCAGTCTGGAGAGGTTCTACTAACCCAGGAAAGGAGTAGGCGCCTGCACATCCGCCCCACTCCAGCTCCAACCCAGCCCTGCCTGTGGCCTGAGCCGGTCCTTGGGTTTCTCTGAGACTCCGTCTTCTCATCTGTTCAGTAGGGGTTGGTCTGAGGCTGTAAATTCTCCCAGGTTTGCTTTGTGGAGGATCAGACTCAGGCCCATGCAGGCTGTACCTGAAGAGGCCTGAGATCCTCTGGGCCTAGGTCTGAACCTTCCTAGGTTCAGCTGGTGGTGGGCCCTGGCTCCCTTAATGGGCAGGACTCGGGAAGAGAGAGGCTGTGACTCTGGCTCCTCCCCACACACAGACACCGGCAGCCTGAGCTTGACCCTGGGGCTGGGGGAGGAGATGGGAAGAACAGAGGAGGCCTGTCCTGTGGGTGAGGGAGCCTCAGGGCAGCAGTTGCCATGTGGCTCCAGGCCTCCAGCTCGTGACAGAGGAGGCTTTCATGGCCAGGGCTCTCAGAAGGGAGAGAGGAGCTGGGCAGGGCATGGAGACCACTCAGGTGAGGAGTGCCCGAGGTCTGTGTGTGGCAGAGGGATGGGCCTTGGAAACGTCCAGTCCTGCCACCTGCATTTTGCACCTGAAGAAACCCAAGCCCAGAGACAAGAAGGAAGGGGTCTAGACACCTCCCAGAGCAGAGGCAGGGCTGACCCGGACTGTGGGCGAGGACCGGTGTGAGGCCTGCATCCATGTTAGCGTGCCAGTGTGCAGCTGCACGAGTGTCAGCACACGACACCCGGTGGGTGTGCACACAGAAGGTGAGTGTGCAGGGGGGCGGGGGCGCCTCCCAAGATCCCAGTGGGGTCAGGGGAGACTGTCTTAGGGCTCATGTGTTGGGCCCCCCCCCCCCCGTGCCTTCCTAGGACCCAGCCTGGGGCAGCGCCGCCCAATGCCACCTTTTGCCTCATCTCTGGCCGCCATCCTGATGCCTCACGTTTCTTCCAAGCCCTGAAGGTACAACCCCAACTTGGGTAACACCCCCCACATACACACTCCTGAGCTGGCAGGGTGCTCTGGGCCCAGGGGGAGGGGACATTCTGGGACTCAGGTGTGTCTGTGGCCATATTCACCACAACCCCTGCAGAACAAAAAAAAAAAACCACTTTTCTCTCCTCTCTAGCCCTTGCCCCCATCAGCAGCTGCTGACTTGGAACTGGGAGGGGGGTGAGTCTGTGCAGGTGGAACTGGGTTCCCCAGCGGCACCCTCCCCCCAGGCTGGCTGCATCCCTGTGCTGCTCAGCCCTCGCTGGGTGCTGCCCTTCTCCGAGGTCATTGATTGGACTAAGGCGGCCATCGTAGCTGACGAGAGGCTCCCACGTCAGGTAGCGCAGGGCCCTGCCCATGGCGTGGGACGGGACCCAGGGCGTGGGAGGGACGCTGGGACCCTGGCCCCTGGCCCCCAGGCTGGCCTCAGCCTGCCACGTATTGCATTGAGGGATTTGCCCTCAGCCCAAGCCGGCTCTCTGCGGCTCCTGTGGGATGAGATGGGGCAGACGCTCCCAAGGGCTCTGGGCAAACCCCAAGCCTCTTTCAGCCTCAGGGTCCCCATCTGTAAGATGGGGTGTTAGACTAGATTATGTCCACAAGCCCAGCTCCATTGTCCCAAGTATGCATAAAGACCCGATGGAAAGAAAATCTACAAAAAAATCTAAAATCTGAGCATCTCCGTGGGACTTGGGGTGGGAAAGCAAAATGCACAGTGGCTTTTCCAGCAGATGAAACTAACTTTGCACAGCTCTGAAAACCACGCGTGAGCCTTGAGGCGGCTGAGGAATGAGAATGGTAGCGACAGCACCATTGTCCGAGCCTCTGAGACAGTCCTCTCATTTACTCCCCACAGCCACCCTCACAGCCAGGTAGCGATTCACCCACTGCACAAGTGAGGAATCATTCCACAAGGTGAAACAGCTTGTCCTCGGGCACACGACTAGAGTGATACTTAAACCCAGGGTGGTGTGGGCCTTGCACTCTCGATTTTAGGTTACCTGTGGGTGGCTGCTGCCAGCTCGTTCGGAGCCCTGGGAAGCGGGTCAGTCAGGGCCCGCCGAGGTCCACACCTTTGACTTCTCTCCCTCTATGCCCAGGTCCTGGCTGCCCTCCAGGAGATGCCCCCTGCCCAGGTCCTTGCCTTCCGTCAGCAGACCCAGTTTCTGTGGGACGCCTACTTCTCCTCAGTGGAGAAGGTCATCTATACTACCCTGGAGGTGAGGGGGCCTCACCTGGGGGGGCCTGCCTCACCCCACGCCCTGTCCACACCCCTGTCTCGGGATACCTCCTCTGCCCAGGTGTTTGAGCAGCACCCTTGGAGATGCTTCTGGGATGACTCGAGACTTGGCTTTGACCTCTGGGACAAGTCCCTTCTCTGACCTTGGCCTGTTTCCCTATCTGTAGAGATTCAGCTGTGGTTAAGCCATTGTAAAGCATGTGCCAACTCCAGCAGCTGAGCCATGACGGCAGGGTGGAGAGGCTGGGGGTGGAGGGTCGCCAGGCGAGGGTGCTCTGTTGAGATTCTGGGCCCCCCAAAATGTCACGACCTGTTGGTGATGTCTGCCCTGAGTGAAGAACAGGCAGCAAGTCCGCCACCGTCTGCAGCCCTGGACACCTCTGAGTGCGACAACTCGGGACTTCTGCCTCGAACCTTCTGTCCCAGCAACCCGGTGATGCAGCTGCCATGCTCGAGCCTGAGGGGGGCGTGGGGCTGCACCAGGACCTCACCTCCCCAGACCCACCCTGCCTGCTGCTGCTGCCTCTGCATAGCCCGCTCTCATGTCACAGGTCATCCAAGACCGGGTTTTTGGAGCAACTGCTCACCCCTGGCGGCTGTGGAACACCCCCCCGGGGGCCCTCCTGGCCCTGCCCACTTTTTCTACAAGCCCCTCAGACTTCCCCTTCTACTACAGACAACAAGAAGGTATGCCCCGGGCTGGACAACTTCAAGTTCCCTCCTCAACACTCCCAAGTCTCCCCTAGCTTGAACCCCAAGAGCTCCACCAAACCCTCCCAAGTGTCCAATATCTTTCCTGGCTCCTGGGGTCCCTGACTCATGTCAGTCCCCAGGGGCTTCTGTCCCCTCCCACCCTAATAGCCTCTGTCTCATTCCCCCAGGCTCTCACCCTGGAGGCAGGTTCAGCGCCCTGATCTGGGTGGGGGCCCTAAGCCAGCCCCCCCTGAAGCTCATCCAGGCGGTGGCAGGCTCCCAACACTGTGCCCAGGTCTGCCCCCTTGCCAGCTGGGACCCAGGGTGGGGGCAAGGGACAGGGCAGGATTCCTGAAGACATCTAGACCCCAAGGAAAACCAGACAGTTTGGGGGGAGGCCCCGGGGGATTTTCCCTTGCTGCCTTCCTCTGTTAAATCCCAACTTCCACATTCCTTTACCCCATCCCCACTCCTCCCTCCCTCAAGGAAATGAAGACACCTAAAAAAGCTGGTGCCTCCTGGGAAGACTGGAGAAGTAAACATTCATTCATTCACCCAGTAGTCATTTCTGAACACCAGGCCCTGAGTTTGCAGTGAAAAAGCAAAAAAGGATTCTGCCTGGGCTTCAGCTGAAGTTCACAGCTCTTGACAAACAGACTGGAACTCATTTCCAGAGGAACTGGAGACTCAGGGCACAGACAGAGTGACTCCCCAAACTGGGTATTTGAGATGGGACTGGGGTGAAAAGGAACAGGAGGAAGAATAAAAATCCTCAAGAGACGAAGACAGGCTTTGGGATCAGAGCCCTAGCTAGGGACAAGGGCGGCAGACCCCTGAGTTCTGATGCCTCCGGAGCTACCTTCACACCACAGCAAGTCCTGCCTTCCAGAAGCCCAGAGGCAAGAACAGGGAGAACAGGCAGCAAAAAAGGCCCTTGGATCCAACTAAGCTCTCCTCCAGACTCGCCTGTCAGTTGCTCTCCCGTATTCCCCACCCCCGCTCACCCCATTTCTGCTCCAGACTTCAGGAGCACCTCCTTTCCCTTCTAGATCTTGGTTCTCTGGAGCAGTGAGAGGCCGCCTCCACCCCGGTGGCCCGAGACAGCAGTGCCCTTGACAGTCATTGATGCTCACAAGAAGGTGAGGGGTGGGAAGGCACGTGGAAGGGATGAACTTGGTCCCTGAAGGCTGGGAACTGGGGAGGGCACACAGTGGGTGCTTTACTTGGGTCTGAGTCACAGCGGGACCCAGGAGGGTCTGATGAAATCAGTGAGTTCGGCTACAAGTCTAACAGAAATGCTTCTCTTCCATCCCTCACCATGTGCACTGTGCTGCCAGAGAGCTGGAGTATAACGGGATGAGGGGCGGTAACACTGGGTGTCTCAGATGAAGAACAGAAGAGAGGTCTGAGATCTTGAGGAAACAGGGGCAGGTGGCAACAAACTGAACCGGCAAGGGGCGACTTGGAAGAATCTGCGCTGGTGTGCGCTCACGCTGTTGTGTGGGTCTCTGCAAGTCGCTACTTCTTTCTGCACCTGTTTCTTTAAGACAAAGAATGTCTGACAGCCCTCTCAACATTGGGAGGAGCACCTAATGTGACAATAGGCCCATCCTGAGCTATCAGGTCTGGAAGCACCCCCAGAGACCGGCTGCCCCCTTTACCGAGTGGGGACCTGAAGTCCAGATCAGTGTCCCCCGGTGTGAGCTCTGGGCAGGCTGGCTGTTTAAGGCCCTCTGCTAGACCATGCCTGCAAGTGTCCTACTTAGCGGATACTCAGATACTCTCTGGGGGCCTGCGGATGGTTCCACGACTGAGGTCCCCCTTACCCTGCAGGTGAGTGACCGCTTCTTCCCATTCAGTGCCATCAGCACCAACGCCATCCTCAGCCTCGATGCCCACAGCAGTCTTTCCACAAGTGAGGTGAGGACTGGGCCCAAGAGCCCACATGAGTAGAGACAGGTTCCTAGAGCTGGGGGGACCAGAGGTCGAGCCTCTTTTTTGAAATCACCCCAGCAAGTCCATCAGCCTGTTCCTTAGAAATGTAATAGGAGCTCTCAGACTCATGGCTCCCAGCTGGAAAGCCTCCCTTGAGCACCCCCTGGAAAGTTTCATGCTCCATCTCCTCTCCCGAGTCCCAAGTCCCCTCAGCCTGGTGGGCCTTGCCACCACCGCCCTGGAGGTGGCCGAAGTCTTTCCTCATGACTCACTTAAATATTCCCCAGGTGGACTTTGCTTTCGTGGTGTGGCAGAGCTTCCCGGAGCGGCTGGTGGGCTTTCTGACCTGGAGCCACTTCTGGGACGAGGCCTGGGGCGGCTGGGGCTACACTGCGGAGAAGACCAACGAGTTCTCCATGGTGCTCACCTCAGCTGCCTTCTACCATCGGTACAGCTGGTAGCCCGGGCCTGGGATCAGAAGGCCAGAGGGCCCCTCACTGCTTCAGGACCAGAGTAGCCTGGGAGTGAAAAAAGCCTAGAGCTGAGCTCCGGGTTCAAGGCCCAGACCTGCCACTTCCCGGTGTGTGATGTTGTCTCCTTGCCTCTCTTGAGGTTCAGTTTCCTCATCTGTAAAATGTAAAATGTGGCAGGTAATGAAATGAGAAAACCGTGTCTACCCCCTGGTGCACAGATGGGAGTCCCTCGCTCAGACAGGCGTGTTATTTTAAGAGTCATGCAGAGGGCATGGCAGTGCTTGGGTTTGTTGGTGGGGTGAGGTAAGAAGGCAATGGCTTTGAAGCTTTATAAATGTGATGGGCCACGGTCTGTCCCAGACCTTCCAGAAACTATCTGGGGCACCCTAGTTTGGGGACAGGGAGTGAATTCTGGAGGGATGCTTCAGAGTTTTTTAGACATGTTTAGAATGAATATGTGTAACCTGGCACTCCTAGATTTCCCCCAGAGCTCTGAAAGGGATTTTTTGTAGAGTGAAAAATGGCTCTATCTACAAGTGAGGGCCAGGCTGCCCTAGAGCTGGAGGCATGGGAGGGGGCAGGGCTCAGGGTGGGATGAAACTCCCATGACGCCGCATCAGCCTAGTAATCCACAGCCTTCTTGAAGCTGGCCTCTCTGGGCTACCATACTTTGATGACCTTGGCACCAGCTAACCCCCCTCTATCTGGCCTGGTCTGAGTTAGATGTGTGACCAGAGGTGGGGACTTAGCATTTGGGAGAGGGTCAAGGAGCACACCACTGGCTGCAGGCAAACCATGGGGTCTAAGGGTACAGCGCTAGTGTCCTGGGGGGTTGGAACTGTGCTGGGCACCGGGCTTTGGGTCAGAGGCAGTGAGGTCAGGAGGGCAGAGAATGGGCCTGAGGGGTGAATTCAGTGGCAGCCTTACCCTGACCTGCCCTCTTGCCCAGGTATTACCACACCCTCTTCACCCACTCCCTGCCCAAGGCTATGAGGACCCTGGTGGATGAGGTACCCTTCTGCGTGGACGTCGTGATGAATTTCCTAGTAGCAGCCGTCACCAAGCTGCCACCTATCAAGGTGCCCTATGGGAGGCAGCACCAGGCCAGGCCTCTGGCGGTGAGGACGGAGGGGATCCAGGGAGGCTTCCCCTCTCCCTGTCCAGCCCATATCCTTTGGCTGCGTGGGCTAGGGATGCGCGCCGGAGATCAGAGAGGCCCTCGGAACACATTTTCTTTCCCCTCCCTCTCCTAGGCGCCTGGAGATCCAGACCCCAGGCTGGAGCCGCAGCCCGCCGCCCGCGACTGCATCAACCGGACGGTGGCAGGGTTCGGCTACATGCCCCTGGTGTCCTCTCGCCTCCGCCTGGACCCGGTGCTCTTCAAGGACCCGGTGTCGGTGTTGCGCAAGAAGTACCGCGGCCTGGAGAAGCCCTAGGCGGGGCCCGCGGAGACCCCAGCCAGGGCCCAAGGGGCCGCCTCTCCTGGGGGTGTGGCGGGGAACTTCGGACGCCCAACCAAGACGGCCGGTTACTAACACGTCAGGTTAGACCGGCCAATCACGGAGCTAGCGCCCGGAGGGGCGTGGCCTCGCCGCCTTCCCACGCGGCTGCGGTCAGCCGCCGCCCGCGCTCGGCCGCAGCCCCGGGACAGTCAGCCGGCGCCCATCCCCGCCGGGCGTCCCTGCCTCTGCTCCGCCGGGCTGACGGCTACTTGTCGTTCAGACTCTCGCCTCTTCCAGGGACTTGCCTGACCCTCACCGCCGCGCTGGGTGGGTTCGGTCCTGGCACCGCTCCCACTGCCTTGTACACGTCCGGCTCCAGGACTGGTGCGAGAGCCTCGCGAGGTCTCTGATCTGGCCACTTGCCGCAGATGTTTGACCAACAGAGACGAGGTCACGTTGCGTGGCCAGCCAGATACCGACGGTAGCAGACAGGACTCCGTGCTCGCTCCCTCCCTGGGGTCCCTATTCCGTGGGAAGGCAGCTGCTCCGCATTGCCTGGCGCAATCCCAGTGCCCCAGCGACGGAGCGAGGAGGCTCCCGGAAACCAGCTTTAGTTTCGCTGGCGACAGGGCGAGGAAAGAAGACCAAAGCCCAAGAGGTCAGCCGCTGCCCGGCCCGGCCCCGGCGCGGCCGTGGCTCTGCATTACCAACCTACACCACTAGAGGTCAGCGCCGCGCCGCGCCCCCGGGCAAGGGACTGGCGTTTTAGACCCATTCAGGCTGTGGGCAAGAGACCTGGAAGTGTGGTGTTGAGCAGCCAGAAGCCTGAAAACTGGGGAGGGATATAAAAGCCCCTCCTCTTTGGCCCACACGCTTAGGACTTAAAGCGGGCACTTCTAAGTAGGTTGGGTGGAAGCAGGGACGGCCGGGCCCAGAGCTCCCAGGAAGTGAGTGGAGTGGGAGGGACCCTGTGTTCTCCTGGGTTCATCCACCTAGAACTGGAATTATCGCTTCCGAAATAAAGCTCAATGTCCTTACTCCACAGGCTCGGGCTATAAATACCCCTACAGCAGCTGCATGGGGGGAGGAGGACTGGGGTTAGTTTGGGAGCAGGGACGAGTCTGGAGAGGTGGAGGTGGTGGGTGCAGCCGGGTCCAGGGTATTGGTTGTTTTCCAGCTTTGACGACCTGGAAGCTTTGGAAAGTCCCATGACTGTCTCACTGGCAGGAGCATGCTGTCTGCCAAGGCCTCTCTGATGCTTCCCACCCCCATCCTGCAGCTGCCCTCTGGTCAACAGGATGACTCAGGCCCTCCCAGGGGACAGGCACACCTGGGGGTATGGAGGGAGACAGGAGCCTGCTCAGTTCTTGAGGTGAAGGGGGGAAAGGGAATTACGGATGGAGAGTGTAATGGCTCAGAATCAAAACCAGGTGAGGGTGGGTGAGGAAGCACACAGCTGCAGTCCAGGCAGCCTTCCCAGGTGGGGAGGGCTCCCAGCGCCGCCCCGCCAGGGGAAAGAGACACCGTTCCCCTCCCCAGTCACAGCTGTGGCACTGAGCTGCCTTGGCAAGGCCTTGCCCAGGTGCAGGACCAAGGTTCCTACTGTACCAACATGCAGCTCAGAGCAGGAGGGAGACTGAGGCAGAAACTGCAGACCTGCCTCACATTTGGCTGTGTGACTTCTGGAAAGTGACCCAACCTTTCTGAGCCTTGGTGTTCTCTGTAACTATGAGGAGCGCAATGATTGTCCTAGACTGGAGTATAAGATTGGGCAGAGAGCAGAACTGAGGATCCGGGTTCTGGGGCTCAATAAAAGCAGTGGGTTTATACCCCAGAGATTGGGGTGGAGTGGAGCATGCCATTTGCAGTCTCTCTCTGTCTCTGTCTCTCTCTCACACACACACACACACACACACACACACTCCCAAATCAACACAAGTGAATTCCCACACATTTTAAGGGGCCGAAGAAACCCAGATCTAGATGACAGGCAACGCAGGTGACATGCTAGAAAGGCACAGAGAGGTCATTTCACAGATGGACAGAGACTCAGAAGGAATGGAGCATGACTGACCCCCTCCTCCCACCATGGGTCAGGCAGTCAACACACTCTGAAGGCCGGGAGGCCACCTGGCTGCCTAGGAAGGCAGCCTCGGGCCGCCTTTTCAGGAGGGATAATGCATAGCCCCTCTTCAGTGCCGAGGCCTTGGGTGTCAGCAGCTCAGGCTGAGGACAAGCAGGCACAGGAGCAACTGGCCTCAGGCATTTCCTTGTCATGGCAGAGACAGGTCACTGAGCCAGGCTGCCCTGTGGCTGGGCAAACCGCCCCTCTAAGAAGCTCCTCCCTCCTCTTATAAACAGCCACCCCTAGTCCAGGAAGCCAGTGTCTCCTGTCCCAGCTGTCTGACCCCTTTGTCCCCTGCCCGAGTCCTGCCCAGGAGCGGCTGTCCAGCAACGCAGCCTCCCTGTGACCCGCAGGACACTATCAGGGCACCACAGCAGCTGGGGGCTCTGAGGCTGCTAAGGCACCCCCAGGCTGACATCTCGGCCCCCACCGTGGTAGGACATGTGTGTGGGGTCAGCGCCCTGGGGGGAGTAGAGGAAACCAGCTCCTTCCTCACTTACTCGAAGCCTCCTCCCTCCAGGAAAGGAGAACACTTGGCTCACAGCTGAAGTGACTATGACACAGGTGGATCCCAGGCTTTGGGGACCCCCTGGATCCCCATAGAAGGCAGGGTTCACACAGACCCCCATCCTCTTGGTCTCCTTAAATCATAGTGTTAGTGGCTGAGGGAGGAGGCGCTGTTCCCCTGACTTCTTTACAGATCCATTAGGCAAAGCCGGAGACACTGAAAATGTGCACTGAGGCAGGCAGGCAAACGGACTTTGCCCTCACTGCGTCCCCTTGCTCAAGGCTGGTGGCAAGACAGCTTTAGCTGTGGAGACCCAAACCCAGCCTTTGGGGAGCAGCCAGGAGCAGGAGTAGGGTCACACTAGTTTATGCCTGCTGAGTCCTGTCCTGGGGCTGGCCGGAGTCAGATGGGGGCGGTGAGGCGGGAGCCCCATTCCTTGAGTGGTCACGGAGCAGAAGTCAGGAGAGGGGCCTGGCATACAGCAGCCGGGGAGGTCAAGTCCTGACTGAGTCTGGTCCTGCCACGCCCCGGCTGGCACCTGGCTGGGCATTCAGTCCGAGGGAACTTGGCACGCCTGACAGTCCTTCATGTCCTCCGAGTAGTCCTCGATCTGGATGGTCATGGTGTGGAAGTGGAATGTCCCCCGCAGGCGGGCGCTGGCCGCCTTCAGGACTGCCCGGGCATCTGCACTCTGAGCTGGGGGCCAGGAGGACACACCAGGGAGGCACCAGAGAATGGACTGTTCACTCGGGCCCTTTTGAGCAACCCAGAGCCCAAGTCTCTTAACCCACCCCCAGTAGAACAGGATGGGGTACCATTGAACCTCAGGAAACCCCAGATCCCACTCCTGTACCAGGCCATCCTCACGCTCCCATCCCTGGCTCAATCCTGGAAGAGCAGAAGCCCAGGCTTTACGCGGAAATCTGCTTTCCTCTGCCACGTAGCAGAAAAAGTCGGGGCAAGTGACCACCACCTCACTCCACCCCTAACCTCAGCTTCTGTATCTGGAGATGGGATTGTGGCGCTCGGGTGCAAAGATGGGCACGGGACTCGGTGTGGGCCAGCTTCAATGCGCAGACCCTGCGGGCGCCCTCAGACCTGGGAGTGGCCGGGCCTCCTGCTGCCCTCCCTCCCCCACCCTGAGCATCCCAACCACTCACCGATGGCGATGTGGACAGATAGCACCGGCTGGGCCACGGTCAGGGCCCAGATGTGCAGGCTGTGTAAGGCTTCCACCCCCTCCACTGACAGCAGCAGATCCCGCACGGCCGTGAAGTCCACGCCTTTGGGGGTCCCTGAGGACAGCAGGGCAGAGGCTGAAGGAACTGCCCCCACTCAGGCTGGCTGCTACTGCCTCCCTGAATGGCAGGGAGGATGCAGCCCCCGCCTCCGACGGGCTCCCTCATACCACTCTTTACTGGGACAGCGCTGACATGATCTTGTTTGTTCATTTCCCATCTGCAACTGGACACTTCTGCTGACCTTAAACCAGCACCCAACTCCAGACTGACCTGACCACCCCAAGAGAGCCAGGGAATATGTTTGATCAGGGAGTACAAGCCACTGGCCACTACCAGTAACCCTGGGAGCCAGCCAAGATCTCCGAGGTAGTGGAAGACCCAAGCTGGAGGGACTTAGCACCTTGTCCCACCCTGGGGGTCTCCTGAGCTTTTGTCTACAAAGTGCAAATGGAAGCAGCATCCTTACCCCTCACTGGCTGAAGGAAGGAAGGTAACTGGAGGCTGAAGTATATGGGAAAGAGCTACACGCCAGGTGCTCTAGAACCCAGCCACAAGCTGAGGGAGGGAGGACACACCCAGCAGAGAGGAAGACGCCTGGGCCAAGGAAGCAGAGCAGGACATTTCCAGGAATGGCCACATCGGAGGCCCAGCCTGCTGCCAAGATTGGCCTGGGGCCCCAGGAGATTCTTCAGCCTGTGCCAGCCTCCAGACCGTGGCTCCCACCAGTGCGCTAGAATCCTCACCCACATTACACCTGAACTTGGGTTAGAGCTGGGGCGGTCCAAGAGCAACAAAGGGAGCCCAAAGCCCAGGTTACCTTCCATCAGCACCAGAAGCACATCTCTCAGGATGGTCAAGGTTGTCCCCAGGACCAGGATGGAGAAGAGGAAGGTGCAGATGGGGTCTACGTACTTATACTCTGGCTGCAGGAAAAGGTGAAGGCAGAGCTGGGGTTCACCACCCAGCCCTCCCGCTCCCCTTCCCCCTTCCAACCCAGCACTGGCACTGCCTCCCAGCACCCTACCTTTTATTCTGTGTCCAGAAAGCTAGGCAGGACAGACCATGGTTCAGGACAAGGAACAATCTTTTTCTAGACGACCTCGCCCAAGGTGCTGAGATATGGACAGAACTGAAAGGAACCTTAAACACCATCTGGCCCAGTGTCCCATTTCATGGACGGAAACTGAGGCCCAGTGAGAGCCAGTGGTCCATGCAGGTGGTATGGCTGGCACTGTGGAGCGGGCTTGGACACTGGCTCCTTCCACTACCCCACCTCGCCTCCCCGCGACGGAAGGCCAGGTCGGCAGCACGCAGTGCGGAGTGCGGGTCTGGCTCCAGACTTCCCAACTGGGTGACAGTGAGTCACAGAACCTTTCTGAGCTGCTGGGAACACCACCCCCGCCCTTCATAATAGCTGTGAAGATCAGATGTGATGACACTGGGATAGGTGTCAGGTAAATAAATGTTCCTTCCTTCTCCACACTCTTATGCCCAGAACTAGAAGGAACCTAGAATCTAGAAAAAGCCAGGCTCTCCCTGGTGGTGCAACAGGTTAAAACACAGCACTATGAAGCAATCCTGCAGTCACTGCAGCACGAGTTCGATCCCCGGTCAGGGAGGTGACCCACCTGGTGCACGCCAGACTTCTCCTGACCTGCCCGCTGTTTCCCTCAGCAGTGTGTTTCAGTATTTCTGCCTGTTCTGCTCCCCACCCTATCTCTAGTAAAATCTCTTACCCCCACCCCCACACCTCTGGCTGGTACCCCAGTTCTTATATACATAAATAAATCTTTTTTAAAGAAAAGAATCTAGAAAAAGCCCTGAATAGAGAACCCCAGATTACTTTACACTCTCCTGCTCCCACGATCCCCACCTTCTCTCAGTCCCAGGGTCTGACCTTGAAGTATAAAATATAGGCGGCCACCAGGACGCCTAAGCTTTGCAGAAAGTCTCCAATCACGTGGATAAAGGCCGCTCGGACACTGGGGTTCTGCTGAGGGCTGGCATCGTGGCTGTGCCCGTGGCCAGACTGATGAAGAGTCAACCCCATTCTAAGAAGTGGAGACAAAGCCAGGGCTCACTGAGGTAGCAGGTAGAGGTTTGACATCAGTCAGGTAAAAGCCACCCATTAGGGCACGCCCCTGTGGGATAAAAATCCCAAACCCCAACTCCTTGTGACTGCTTTGGCCATGTGAGAAACCCCACCCGTGGGACCTTGGTTCAAAGTGCCAAGAGATAACACTTAACTCTAACACCAGGCTGAATCTGGGCATAAAGATGCCCCAGCACCAAAGCCCAGAGCAAGAGGGCATTACGGAGGTCATGTCACCAATGGGGAAACTGAGGCCTAAAGAGGGAAGCGGCAAGGCCACTGAACCAAGAGAGAGTGCAAGCAAGACATCCATGCTCCACACACCCCGCCTCTCTCTGAGGTCAACTTCAGGTACAGGAGCCTGAAAAGGGCCTGGATTCCGCTGCTAGAGACATCGGCCTCCCCATCAACAGGAAGCCTCCGGGTTACTCAGTGACAGGTACAGGGGTAAGAGGGATGCGATCCCAGATTTACACATCCTGACGCCTTGGCTTAGGCCTCTGACAGGACCCAGGTATTCCAGGTGCCTGAGCTCAACCTTTAGGGAAGCGAGTTCCGGTGTCTGTACTTGAGTGCTATGGGGCCTCCTAGAGAGAGCAGGCCCCAGGTACACAGGTGACAAGCGGGAGGAGCCAGGACCCTAGTGAACCCAGGCCTCACTTACATGATGTTCACAGCCACAGCGCAGCCTGATGTGATCAGCATGGTGCCCCCCTCAATCTCATAGTCTCCAGATATCAGCCGCTGCACCGCCAGGTATACCAGTACCCCGGTCACGACCCAGATGGACAGGACAGACAGCAGGGCTCCCAGGATCTCTGAGAAAGAACCAACTCCCAACACCAGTCTCAGGTGCGCCCTAAGGCCCCTCCCTCGGCCTCCCTCCATCTCCTGCCAGGCTCAGAGCCTAGTCCCACTGGCCTCTGCTACAGGCATGGCTGCATTGCTGCACCTGAGCCCCACGGCACACACCATGGAATGTCAGAGCTAAAAGGCACTTATGTCATCTGGCTCAGTGCATGTCCAGTTACATGTAAAAAAACTAACCTATTAAAATGTAAGCTTAAGGTGGCAAACTAAGGCTTCTAGGAGGGACCATCTCCCACCAAGAAAATGACAGCGCCGCCCAGTGATGAACTGAGGAGGGATTAGTGTATAAGCCCTCCGGAAGGCTTTGCGGACATCCCCTGCACCTCTCCTATCCCCAGTTGACCTATAGATATGTGCAGTTAATGCCACAGTCATTTGTACTGAAGTCCGGCCACCTCAGGTGACCCCTCCTTCCCTGTGGGCCGGGAGTGCCTGGAGGAGTGGGGACCAGTCTTCCCCCATCAGACAGGGAACCCCCAAAGAACAGATGTCCAAGTTGGCATCCTCCTTCCCCACCCAAGGCCCTTCTGGGCCTCGCTCACAGATCCACCTGAGACTCTCAACCCCACCCCAGCCTAACCGGGCTCTCACCAGCTCGCTGCCAGCCGAAGTTCATGGTCTTGGTGGCCGGCCGGGAGGACATCCAGAGGGAGAAGAGGCTGATGAGCATGCTGGCAAAGTCAGTGAGCAGGTGGGCTGCGTCGGTCATGACCGCCAAGCTATGTGCTAGGTACCCACCTGTGGGGGCAGGACCAGGAGGATGGAGCCTGATCAGCTCCCCAAGGGGCCACTTACAGAATCTATGTGTGGCATGGAAACCATGCGCTCTGGAGAGAGACACCGGACCTCTGCAGCCTTAGATGCATAACCATTAGCTAAGAGCCTCAACTTCTAGAGGTGAAATGGGACAAGCAACATCTACTTGGAGGGTGACTGTGAAGATCAAGTTCAAATAAGGCCTGAAAGCATACCAGGCACAGAGCTCTTTCCTTCCAGGCATGCAGGCCTCCCTTAACCTACTAGTTATGCACAATCATGGGCAAATTACTTTATTACTTGACCTTAACCTGCCTCTGTTTCATCATCTGAAAAATAAGGAAAATAACAGCACTTGTATGACAGCAATAGGCTGTTGTGAGGCTCACATGAAGAAGTAAGTCCCCCCACCTTACACACAGGGGATTTGATCCAAGACACACACCCTCCAGCCCCACCTCCCTACCCACCCTCCCCCACCTCCTCCGTACACCCCCCCAAACTACAATAGTAAGAAATCCTATATGGATGCATATAGGTTATTTCCTATGGATGCATCCCCAAGACAAAGTTCAGTTCATGAGTTAGGTAAAGACATTAGCAATAACTAATAAAATAGAACAATTACAATAATACATGGTGATAAAAGTTATATGAATGTGGTCTCTCTATCCCTCCCCCTCAACACATCTTATTTTCCATAATATATTCTGACCTCGGGTAACTGAAACCAAGGAAAGCAAAATTTAGGAAGGGGGAGGACTTTGAGTATTCAATAAATGGGGCAGCTGGTATTAATATTACTGGGGTCATCGAGGCTAGGAGAAGCCAGTTTCATTTAAATAGCACAAAGGTCCTTACCAATCACTTCCCCAATCATGAACACCAGGCAGATAGCAGAGGCCACATAGAGCTGGCGACGGGCCCACTTCTTCTTAGGGTCACAGGTACCGACAGGCCCCTTCTGAGCATGGCAGTAATGATTGCTCTGGGCGGCCAGCTCAATGGCCTGCAAGTTCAGGCCAGGTGCCGGGAGAGGGATCCGACCAGCCCGCTCCTGCCTGAGGGATTCGGTGTAAGACCTGGCCAAAGAGGAGAGACTCTGAGCTGGGACAGAGAGAGCTGACTCCAGCCCCCGCTCTCTGTGGCACCTCGGCGTTTCCATGTGTCCAACTGGCATGCCAGCTACGGACCCTCCAAGCTCCACAACCCCTGAGGAGTGGCCAGAAATCAGTGTTCCGAGGGTGTCCTGGGGGAATGCCCAACCCAGGAGTCTTAGGGCCTGGGTCGGAGGTGCCCCCTCCCTTCCTCCCTCACCCTTCCCTCCCTCTCCCCTTCCAGGGCCTGGAGGAGGCCGAGACCTTGAGGACTGGCCAAGGGGCGGGCGCGGGTTCAGCCGAGCGCGGAGAAGGAACAGAGCCGACCCGCTCGCACCCTCGGGGACACTGGGCCTCCCACGGCGACGCCGCCTGGGGCAAAGTGCCGGGCGGGGGACGAGACTCCAGGCTCGGGGCTCCCCGCTAGCGGGCAGGAGTCAGAATCTGCGCTCAGCCGCGAGGGAGGGCCGGTCCCCGAGTCCACACTCCCATCTCCCACTCCCCCGCCTCTCGCCGCCCCTCCGGAGCGGTCCCGGTCCAAAGCGCCGGCAACACGGGCCGCGGCCGGAGGGCGGGCGAGGAGCTGCGTCCGGCGCGGTCCCACTCACGCCCTCCCCCCTGGCGCCTTACCCGGCTCCCGGCGCGGCGTCCAACAGATGCTGCTTCTCCGTGGTTTCCATGCGCGGGGGCCGCGAGCGGCGCGCGACCGCGGAGTGCGCCCTGGAAGTTGCCGGCGGGACGCTCGGCGG